CAACTCGCGCAGGCGCTGTATTAAAATGACGGATCATCTGAGAAATGAAATAATGGAGTGGCGCTTTTTGGACACCTGGTCAGGATTCCTTCCGTGGAAAGACGAAAAGCATGTGAGCGTCACCCTCCATACTGACGCCTCAAACACGGGTTGGGGCGGGGTCCTTGAAATTCCAGGTTCCACTCCCCGCCAGGAAATCCGCGGCTACTGGAACGAGGACTCGCGAACACTCCCCATCGCTGTCAAAGAAGCAAAAGCACTACTCTCTACGCTTACGTCCTTTTAAGGACGAAATGGTACACGTACGTAAAATGGTACACGTACGTAATGCACGTGTAGATGCCCTCGTGGACAACAAGGCTGTTGTCGGCAGTTGGAACCGCCAGATCTCCAAGTCTCACGAAATCTCAGGGATTATGAAGGATTTTTTCATTGGAAAACAATATCTCATTGGTCGTACACTTCGTTCCATCCACTCTTAATATTGCCGAATCGCTTTCACGTACCGTCTCCGACATGGATTGCACCCTTTCCCAGTCAGMGTGGCACATCATTGACACCACATTTGGCCCACACACAATTKATCTCATGGCTATACCCGACAACGTTAGTTGCGCCGCCTCCGGACGCCCGCTGCGGTTCTTTTCACCATTCCCATGCCTGGGTTCGTCCGGCGTCAATGTATTCGCCCAGCAGTTGTCAAACTACGAAAATGCATTTGTTTTCCCGCCGTTCACCCTTATCGGTCCACTTCTTAAGCACCTGCAGTCTCAGACTTGTGCTGTTACCATGGTGGTGCCCGATCTACGCCCAAGACGATACTGGTGGCCATTGTTGTCBCGTTGGTCAATCGCTTCCCTAAAGATCGGCTCGAAAGGAGACCCTAATACCCTTCTTTTCCCGTCTAAATCGGGCAGTACGTGTTGGGAAAAGCGACATCTGACCTGGGACTTATGGGTCTTTCGTGTTTCAAACACAAGAGATTAATCACCTACCTAGCCAATGGTTACAAATGTTCTTTAGAAATGTATGTTGTTGTTACGCACATAACAAACCAAAATAAACTCGTACCATTTCAATATAATTGTTATTTTTTTCTCTTATTCTAAGCGTCTTATGGCTCATAGTATATTCTGTCGTGGGTCTTTTTCAGCCCCTACCCGAGGTACAAAGGCTTTGCACTCCAGCCGTTCAGTGCCCCTCTTGCGCGTATCCCAACGATTCTACCTTCTCATTTTGCCAGAGGTGTGGGTACGTAAGAAAATCTGTCAGCGGTACCAGACCGCTCCCCAAACTACCTTTGGACTTGTCAGAAATAGATACTCGGCTACAAACTCTACACAGCGCAAGCCAAAATAAAGCATACCGGAAGCAGATCTCCAAACTGCGTGTAGAACTGGAGCACTTCCTTAGGTCGTTACCCCAGCCTAAGTCGGTACACAGTGCTACACCCAATGATGTTACACGTTTTTTAGTGTGGAAAGACAACTCAGGGAAGACCAAAGTTCATACTCCATCATGCCCTTTGTTCGGTTCTAAGCGTCCCAATCCGTGCCCATGCCCAGCCAGACTGGCCGCGGGAACGGTCGATTGCATGATTG